GCCTGTAACTGAAAATATTGATGGAGGACAACAGAGCTGCTTCATGGAAGAAGAACCTCAGCTTAACCTGTTAGCATTAGCCCCGACGATATACGTATTAGCTCAGCGCTACACATTCTCCTCTCGTCACTGAGGTTCTCCATCCACATGACAAAGAGGGGAGCACAAAAATGACTCGGCCTGTAACTGAAAATATAGATGGAGGACAACAGAGCTGCTTCATGGAAGAAGTACCTCAGCTTAGCCTGTTAGCTGTTGTTTTAGTGTTAGCCCCAATGCTATCACCATATATATGTATGTATTAGCTCAGCGCTACACATTCTCCTCTCGTCACTGAGGTTCTCCATCCACATGACAAAGAGGGGAGCACAAAAATGACTCGGCCTGTAACTGAAAATATGGATGGAGGACAACAGAGCTGCTTCATGGAAGAAGTACCTCAGCTTAGCCTGTTAGCTGTTGTTTTAGTGTTAGCCCCAATGCTATCACCATGCATATATATGTATTAGCTCAGCGCTACACATTCTCCTCTCATCACTGAGGTCCTCCATCCACATGACAGAGAGGGGAACACAAAAATGACTCAGCCTGTAACTGAAAATATGGATGGAGGATCTCAGTTTAGCTTGTTTGTCGCACTAGCACCGAGCTAATACATATAAGGCAATATAGCATCAGGGCTAAAGCTAACAGGCCGATCGTCAGATGTTGGCTGTGTCCAAAACAACAGGACGGGTCCTCCATTAACCTTCAGGGTGGATATAGCTCGCTCACACCAAGGACCTATCCACATCATCATTTACCCAGAACGCTTTGTGTGTAAATAAAATGGCTCCGTCTGTGTTAAAATATATTTTTAAAAATTTACAAAACTAAATAGGCTACAGTATCTTTACAGTCTTTATTTTACAGTTAAAATATATGTTTATCAAATAAAGTCTAATGGATCCCTTTAACTAATTCTCACAACTTCCTCACAAAAGCACAATTTTCACCAAATGTGCTGCTTGAAAATTCCAGAGCGATACTCCCTTAATTAACAAAAGGAGGCCGGAGCAAAGTGTTTTTACCTTTTACCCTCTCTTTTCTTTGTTTTTGCATCTTGTTCTCTATCTTTCAGACTCTCTGATTTATGATTCATCTGCCAGCAGTCGGCCAACAGTTGCTGTTCAGCCACTCGCTGCCTCCAAAGCCCCGCTCGGCCACCTGCTGCTGTCACTCTGCTGCTCCCGCTGCCTCACACATCCACACGTGCTCTGCAGGAACTCAACACAAAACATGAATGTGGCACACGGAAACACAGAGTTGCGGTGTTAGTCACAATCTGAGATCCAAATTTGTTGTAGGTTTACGAGGAAACGCAGAAGAAATTTGTCCTGATTGAAGCTAAAATGTTTAGCAGACTTATGTCCACACAAAAAGTCAGACAACTTGTCTTTTAGATCCCACACCTCCTCCTTATTAAAATGTCTTTCACATTTGTAGACAGTTTATTTGCATCAGCTGGGTAGTTGTCCAATAGTTTTTACTGTAAAGTTGGCATCATTAATCTCCAACAGAAGGGAAGTAATCCCTCCATGATTTGTAACTATTCTAAACCTGCTGTTTTAAGCAAATATTTAGAGAAGCTTGGTTTTAAACAGTTAATAGATTTTATAAACACTTTTATTCATGATAAATGAGTCTGGTTTTAAATCCAACCATGGTGTAGATAAGGGAAATCATACTCATTTTCACTGAGGACCGCGTGAACATTAGAGTGGCCCTCAAAGGGCCAATTGTAAATTACATTAACCTTTCATATTTAACTTTGACTAAACAAATCGTCACGTTTCTCTTCTCATTATATGACTGGGCACTGCTACCGAACTGAGCTCTACTTGGTATTTCCTGCATAGAAACAGCGTTTTAACACATCTTCTTATAAACACTTAAAAGTACTGCGTTAGACTGACTAAATGTGAAATAAATGATACAGAAATACTATTGGAAGTAAAGGTAAGAAAGTTGTTTTCACTATAGGGATGTGGTAGATCTTCTATTCCGAGCTCTCCCACTTTCCAACAGAGAATTCCCATGGATAATCAAAATGCATTATGGGAGACGTAGTTCATGGTCAATGCTGGTTTTAAATCATTTTATTTCAATACATTCATGCAGGGATGTTTAACTAAGTTGCTCAGGGGGACACAGTAATAAAAGATTGCAGTAATAACAGCTGAAATATGCTCAAACTAGATGTATTTTGAGAAGTGCATCTTTATTTAATGAGCTCACAAGTTTTCTGAGTTGCGTAAAAAAATGTTGCGGTGAAGTCAGGTGACTTCAGGAGGTCTTGATCTAAAAAAAAGCTGGTATTACAGAAAAACAAAAACATTTAAATAACCCTGGTAGTTAAAGCCGTATTGTAGACAAATATTGTTCATCTGTATCAGTTCATTTTTTTACTGAAACCAACACCATGTAAAGGCAGTTTTATCCACCACCAGGTGAAATGATGGAACCAGGGAGAGGATTTAATGCCACCCTGATCTGATCCCCTCTGTGGACCAGCCTGGACCGCAGAATAACTCAAAGCAAATGATGATGGGAGCAAACGTTGGTCTGCAGGAGGTCTTGCAGGTCCACAGGAGTCTGTCCATTCTGGGCCTTATTTGTCATCAATTAAACTTTAAAATAAACTTGATACCACATAGTGGTAACATAATGACCCCCCGCACACACAAATGCACCAGAACTCAGAAGTCTTTATTCCTAATAAATGTCATGGTGCATCCTAAAATTGTAGTGGTTTGGGTTGGGGTCTTTTTTTCGGTGGGCGTTGGACCTGATAGTTCTACACATTCTCACTCCCAACTCGTCACATATTGACGTTTAAGGTAAGGTTCCCTCTGCGTCTTATTTGGACGCAGAAGGTACCCCCCTCCCGTCACTCCTTGACGCCCACGGCTTTTCCGGGTTGCGCCACCAGGGGGCTTTGGGGCGGGTGTCTGAGGTTAACATGAGGGATCGGGTTTAATGGTTAAGTTTAGGTACTGGGATCAGGGGTAGGATGTCCATGGTGAATATTAGGTCATTTTACGCTTTAGAACATGTTCACCTGAATTTCGTACATTTTCTAAAAATGGTTAGTTTTACCTACTAGGGTCAGGGACAGGATGTCTAAAGTGAACTAAGGTAATTTCAGGCTTTGGAACGGTCGTTTTTGCGCATTTTATACACTTTCTGAACATATGACAACAGCTTCCGCCCCATCTCGTCAGTAACTGACGTGAGGGGGGTACCCCGCGCGTCAATATCGGACGTAGAGGGAACCTTGCAAAAGAGAACAAAGCACGAGGGACCAGAACCAACTCGAGAAACACATGGAACAAACAAAATGATCCCACAACAGACTGAGACAGGACAGGGTTTAAA